TCTAGAAAACTAGGCACTGTACCAGTAATCCTCAATTTACAACCACAATTGAGCCCAAAGTTAGTGTTGCTAAATGAGAAATATGTTAAGTGAGAATTGTCCCATTTTACAACTTGTCCTATCACATTTGTTAAGTGGATCACTGCAGTTGTTAAATTAGCAACACGGTTGTTAAGTGAATTTGATTTTCCCATTGACTTTGCTTGTCAGAAGGTTGCTAAAGGCGATAATGTTATCCTGGGATAATGCAAGCATCATAAATTTGAATCAGTCAAGCATCCAAATGTAAATCCCATGACCATGGGAATGCTGTAACAGTCATAAGTGTAAAAATACGGCTTTGCAAAGCCGTTGTAACTTTAAATGGTCACTAAGTGAGCTGTTGTAAGATGAGGACTACCTGAATAGGGTTACAGTATAAAACATGTCAGAAAAAATATACATTTAAGATAATCTGAGCAAACTGAATAGTGTTGCCTTTTTTGACTTTTAGAACATGAGAATAGCCAACAGATTATAAACAATAATTTTTAAATTTTATGGTTTCAAGGAAGCCCTGTCACATTTGCTACTGTGAGAATCATGGACGTTGATCAGCAATTGCATGCTAAAGTTTCTTTGTATACTTGGGGGGGGGGGGGGGGGGGCTATATAGAATTTTTTATTATGTTTATATAAAATATATAAAAAGGAAAAGGAACAAATGAGGGGAAAGGAAAAATAAAGTAACAAAAGCATACAAAGTTACAATAGATAATGAATATTTTGTTACAATGGAAAGATGTTTCATTCTGAATGCATATTTGTGTATTCATATGTGTTTGTTCTCTCCTTATGAACTGGCTCTTTATCAATATAGTAGAAAGACTGATCAATATTATTCCATGTGGTAAATTTTAATGTTGTATCTAATAACTTTTTTTCTTATGCATTGTAATACAATTTTACTGACATTCTGAAAATATTCCAAGACACTAACTTTTCCTTGGGTCTTAGTACTGATCTCTATAAACTGGAAACACATTCTAAAATGGCCAAAGTCTATTTTGGTGGCAATTAACAAAGAAGCAATAGCACAGTTCATAAATTATTTGTATCAACCCTGATTCACTGGAAGCAGTATCTCCATCCAAGACTATGCAGCATCTTTCAGACCTTCATAATTTTACGTAATTTGTATAGCAGGTAGATTTTTGTATCTTGGCATTCTTAGATGATTTAAAACCTGTTGTATTGGAACATAATATTAACAGTACTGTCATAGTCAACGAACAAGATACAAGGAAATTTATATAAAATCAAGTAGTTTTTGTATTTTCCACATATGTTGAAAAGGCATCATCATTTTGTTGATCAATGTTTTAAATGTCACTTTTGGCCCTGAAAGCCAACTAGATTTGGTATGAAATTTTTTTGCATTTAACTTGCAGATTTTAACAGCACATTATATCAGTTGATAAAGGCAATAATTTACGTGTTCGGAACATCTATGTCTGTATCTATATCTATATCGACAAATTTTTAATTTCTTTCTCCATTTTTTTCCCCATAGTTCTGAGGAAAATCTAGTGAAGCTGGTATTACTTCTGGAAGGAAATCTCATACTGGCAGCAAAAGAAAATTCCATACCAATGCAATTATTAATTTTAAAATTAATTTAATTTAAATGGATTTTTCCTAAGAGTTTAATCAGAGCAAGTACTTTCATTCCTCCCCCCCACCATCCTTACTGTAAGTGATCCCTATTAATTGTCAATTCTCACTACGAGCATATTTCATCTGTATTTTTAAAAATCTGTGGAGTAATCATATTTAAGAGAAAGTTTAAACAGAAAATCAAAAGAATTATGCAATATGTATTTCACTTGGATATTAAAATTCAATTTTCACTAGAAACAAAGATAGAATAAGAATTCTTATCCAGCATCAGCATATCCAAATCAACCTTTAAGCATCCCACACTTTAAAAATAATGTTTCATTTTTTTGTGTGGCAGGTGTTATATACTTGTTAAAAAGCAACTTGAGCAAAATGTTTCTTTTAATTACTATTCAGTTTTAAAATCCATACCACCATTGGTGGTAGAATCTCTTGGTGATCTTATTTTTTAAGATAAGAATAATGAAAATAAGACCAAATTAATACTTGGATGGGAGATCATCAAGTAATCTGAGGACTGGAGAAAAGATTGGGAAATTAAATAAAAACGACCTCCTGGAAGAAAGCAATAAGTGCTCTTTTATAGATCTATGTATTGTTTCCAAGACAACATGGATGTATTGGTTAGTCACAGGAATCAAGCTTAACTTGCCATGCTATTTTTTTAGAATCCATGGGCCTTTTAGAAACTTGTAAGAGTCCAAGTACACAAAAAAAGAAAAATCACAATAATGTGTACATGACTAGGAAAACAAGATGAATAAAAAACTTGATATTTCAACAAGCAAGTTCATATTTCAACATCTCCTGTTGATTACAGTGTCACCCTACACTAAACTCTGTAGTTTGAAAATGATTGGCACTTTTTTCTGAAAATTATAATGCAGGGTTATTTAATATAAATAAAATTTTAGGAATTTATAAATATTGATAATTTGTGAAAAAGCATCCATACAATGATAAATAATGCCATGCAAATCTGATTAAAAAAAATGGAAAGGCAGCTTTGAGACCAAATCTATCTTTTACTTTTAGCTCCCTCCTCCCCCCCCCCCCAAAAAAAAGGTGGGGGAGAAAAATTAGCAATCCTGGTTTAGTGAAGTTATATAATGACATATTGTCCACCACTCAGAGGGTGCTGTAATGCACTGCGACTGGTATATAAGTCTAAGTGATACTGCCATTGCTATAATAAAGGTGATACTTTATGTACTTTAATCCTATTCCAATTATGAAGAAAAATTTAAAGTATGCCCAAAAATAAGGGCCATAAGTAGGACAAGACATTTGTCCAAATTAATTATGATAAATCCTATACTTGTTAAGTAGTGAGTAAATACAAGCAACTGAAAGAATCTGGAATTTACTGAGTAAGTGTAGCTCTTTGAACACATTCCATTAATAAGTCACATTCTCAGTGCCACACCTTTATTGGTAATGTATTTGTATATACAATATTTATATGATTAGTCTGTGCCTGGGAATTTACTTAAAAACCAAATCATATTTTCTCAAACAGAAATAATTGTCTATACCTTACTTTTGAATTTAGGAACTTCTATCATGTAACTATTCCATCTAAACACTGCATTTGTTTTACAATAATTAAAAATAGCCACTAACTCCACCAATATTTTTCTTATCATCTGTCCTAAATCAATGCTTTAGTTCTTTTTATATAGAAAGAGGTTCCTTCCTCAATTCCTTAAAGAATTAAAACAAGCCAAAAATGTTTTTAAAAGAGAGATTAAAAAAACCCAGGGACAAACAGAAAGCAAAAGCAGAACATTTGGAAACATAAAAAATACTTCTGTGCTTATATTAAGCACATTGCCTATTCAGATCACACATGCTTAACTAGTCTACTGAGAATGTGACATATGTCACACTGAGCTATAATCCATTAAAAGTTAAATACAGATTCATTCATCTTTTCTTTCATAACAGGCTTTATTCCAGAGAGTAAAGAGCAATCTTCACTTCTAAAATCAATCTGAAATTAAAAGTTGAACTGTCCTATGTTCCCTATGAACTCTGTGGATTATATTATGCATGGCACTACATCTGCTTTGTGCCAAAAAAATATGCCACTTGGTATTGTAGAAATAATTGGTTTAGCAAATAAACTACGTATTTAGAAAAAGTTGTCAAAAAGAATATATATCAGGTATTCATCTATTGTGCTTCTATATATAGTAACGTTACAACTTCATAACTAATATGTGCTAAAGGTTGACAATATTATCAAGTCATTATACACTATATACTTTTAAAAAGTTTCTTGATACCACTCCCAGTGATCTTCCAAACACAATTGTTTGTCATTAAATTTAGTAAGTACAACCCAAAAACCAATAGAGATTTTACCATTTTTCTCCCTGTTATTTGTGAAGAATCCTTGGCCAAGAAAATCATCACTAGAGATAAATGGTGCAACAAGATACAGTTGAGCTTGGGATAAGTAGAAAGAAAGTGGGAACACATTATAGAACTAAGAGATTCGAACATATCTGTTATTGAAGGTGAGGTTGGCCAGGGAAGAAAAATCTGAACATCTGTGTGCGTGCGTGCATGCATGAACGCGTGCATATCTCCCTGTTTGCCAATGGAAAGGAAGTGAATAAATAACGAGAGGTGAGCACAGGCAGAAAAGAACCATAGCCTTGTTTAGAGCGGTTGTGCATGCAACTACAGAAGAAACGGGAGCTTCGGAACGCTACGAGGAGACTCTGGAGCAAGGAAGGGAGTGGGAAGAAGAGGGCTGAGCCTTCAAGAGCTCGCCAAGGTTTGCCTCGGCTCTAAATCCGCAGAGGAGCAGCTGGTGGAACTGCAGCTCCTGCGCACAAGACTTTGTGGGGCTCTCTAATTCAGAGAAAGGTTGAAGGAAAAGTATGGAGGATGCGAAAGGGAAAAAGAATAAAAAAAGCCTGGCTGGAAAGACCGAGGACAGGGGGCACAAACTTTGCCCGCTCTGCTTTCCTAATTCGTCTCCAAACTTTATTTATATAGCCCCTGTGGCGGGGGAGGGGGGAGGAAAAGAGAGAGGAGGAAAAAAACTGACCGGTTCCACCGGAAATAATCCTGAGAGATCCGAAGTACCCCCTTTCCCGTTCTTCCTCCGGCGCCTGTGCCCCACGACTCCATCCGTTCCTTTAAGTCTCTCCCTGATTCCGGTTCTTGTCAGGGTGCCAAAGCGGCGCCTCTCCAGCTCGCTCTACCCCCGGAGTCCCTAACCTTAGCCGCGGCCATTTCCATTTTCTTTCTCGTCGTCCTCGCCCTCTTCTCCCCGCCCTCCCGTACCCCTCCCCGGGCGAAAAGCCAGCTGGGGCCCTCGCGCTTACCTCCCAAAATGAGGTTCGTGGCATTCTCGTCAGCCGTTTCCGCAACTACCATTGCCGTCCTCAGGAAGCAGCAGCCCTGTCTGGAGCGAGCGCCGGCCCGCCTGTCCGCAGCCCGTCAGAGGGCTCTGAGTGCGCGTACTCGCGCGCACCTCCCGTTGCTCCAAAGGCCACCCGTGACAAACGGACGCGAACTCAAGACAGTTAATTCTAGTGTGGTGAGCTCCGACGAGTGGCGGCTTAAGGGAAGGGAAGGGGAGGAGAAAGCGGCCGCCGATCTGCGAAGCAACTCATGAAGCCACCGCCTCCGACGCCGATACAAAAGCGCACAGAGGCATATCTGCACTCGCACAACTACACAATGCCCTTTTAGGAAGCTGCCCTCACCCGCTCCACAGGGTATCTGCGTCTCTGTGTGTATGTTCTCCTCCTTTCTCCCTGATTCGGGGCTCTGCTGCAATGCCTGCGAGGCTGACTTTCAAAGCCTCACCCGCAGCCTACGATTTTTCCTCCCTCCCCTCCCTTCTTTCCAGCCTGTCAGTCCCTCCCTTCATTTCGCTCTTTCTGCCATTCATCGGTTTGGCCAAGTTTCGCTGTTTAATATTTTTATTTACCACTACCAGCTAGGAAAATCTGATGGAGAAACGGGAGGCGGGGGAGGGGGTATCGTTGACACAGATCTCAGCTGACTATTTGGCATGGTCTCATGGAAGGCTACAAGGCTTGCAAATAAAGTTGATTTCAAAGTTGATTTGAATGTACAGTCAACAAACCATGACAAACAAGGCTGGTGTGTGTTTGGGTGTTAATAAAAGTGCAATTTAACATTCTGAATTACTTTAGACTTTTCAGGTTATTAGGGAGGTTCAAATAATTTCCTCAGATGAATCATTTCATGTTGGCTCACAGTGAATTGATAAAGAGCAAATATTCAAATTTAGAAATATAGGTATATGAATGAGCTAGAAGAATGGTCCATAAATTGAAATCTTTTTAAAATATATGAAACTAACAAACATGACTATATATTATCTGAAAGATTAAAGGTGAAAGGAAATACAACAGTCAGCTGCCTTATTTTTAAAAAAATATTTTAAGTGGTGTAAAAATTCCAGTATTTGGGAGCAAGTGACCTAAATAACATTGTCTTGCAATAATAGAAACAATAATGTAATTATATTTTCACTTAAGATTTTCTAAAGAGGAAATACATAAATATCCTTACGATGCACTTTCATTTCATCTTACTACATTATATTTCAGTTGTTTTAATTCTACCAGATTTTATTTCCTGTTTACCAAAGTTCTTCAAAAATTTATATTTGACATTCAGTCAAAGTGTGGTTAGATCAGGAGTAGGCAATTAATTTTCCCAAGGAGCCACATGAGAAACTAGGACTGTTGTGCCACCCCTTGCTGCCCCCCCTCCCCCCGTTCCAGCTACCGCTGCTCTCTTGCTGCCACTACTGTCCCCCTGCCGCCACCACAGACTAGACAGACAGCCAAATGGGTGGATGTTGCCTACGATCATAAAATGCCCACACCTGGGTTAGATGAACCAATTATAATTGTATTGAACAATTTTGCCTTGGGACAAAAGACAGGTGGTCACCACCTGCTCTCTTCCATTGTTATATAGACAACAGGACAAAAACTTCATTAATTAGTCAAATTCCAGATCAATTATATGTTATAGCAAAATGTAATAACAGTGCTTCAATATCAATATTAATATTCTTGCAGTTGAATATTTACATGGTGCCATGTTGTTGTTTCAGAACCCAACTGATTTGCAGTAGATGTTGGCTTGTGTCTGTCACAACAAAATACTTAAAAGTTTTAGTTTTTAGATTTGGAAAATAATTGGCAAAAACTATGGGACAGAAATCAGAAAGTGACAATGGCCACATCATATAAGGAAAACTTCTATAAAATGTTCTATAGGTGGCATCTCCCTTGGCAAGACTGGCTAAAATGTTTAATAATATGTCCCCAAACTGTTGGAGATGTAAACAAACGTCTGGCACATATTACCACATGTGGTGGACTTGTATAAAGGAAAGAAAATTTTGGATACAAATACATCCATGGTTAGAAAAAATGATTAAGCAACATATAGATTTTAAGCCAGAACTGTTTTATTAGGTATTATATTAGATGGCTATGATAAAGGGACAATATATTTAATATTACATGACTGCAGCAAGAATTGTATATGCGCAGCAGTGAAAGAACTCAGAGGATGAGATGATAAGGAAGATACTAGACCAGTGGTGGCTAACCTTTTTGGGCTCCTGTGCCAAAAATTGTGCATGTGCTTGCATGCTCGCGCTCCCATGCCAGCACCCAGAAGGCAATGCATGCCCCCCATGTCCCCTAAGCATGCGCATGCAATCCCCACTCCACCCCCACCTCCCGCTGCCCCCTTACCTGAACTGCACCTCACAGCTGATTTTCGGTCGGTTTGAGGCCTTTTTCGGCCTTCCAGAGGCTTCTGCAGGCTTCTACAAGCTTTGTAGGCCAAAATCTAGCCCCATTTCATCACTTCCTGTTTTTCCAAAAATACCAGAAGTGACAAAACAGGGTGGAAGTGATTCCAGTCCCACAAATGTTTACTGAATTAGTTCAGAAACAATGGTCCTCTATTGCTACTTATCCCAATCCAACAGGATATGATAGGAAATTCTACAATTTAGTACCAGAATTCTCTAACACTCTACAACCCTATAGTAGAGGAACCAGTAGTAGCTCTAGCCTCTCCTTCTGCTATACCTAGCGAAGTGGAAGGAGCTCTTAAGCCAGAGGAGAGAGAGCAGAATTAGCACTTCGCAGGGCTCACTTAGCAGATGCATGGGCGATCAAGGAGGCTACTGCCACCTCATTCTTTACCAGATCTTCACTAAGATGGCTTCACCTGAGAGATTCCATTCCCTCATCAAATACCAGAGCGCACCAGGACATAGCCAAAGTGATTGCTGCTGCAGAATTCTCTGCTGACGCAACCTTTAATTCGGTCAAATTCTCATCAAGGGCCATAGTGTCCCAGGTCATAACGATGCCTACTCTGGCTCCGACATTGGCAAGTGGATACCAAACGTAAGTGGAAATTAGCATCTTCCCCCTTGGAAGGGGATAAACTATTTGGATCTGCCCTCTTTTTTTTGCAAGCATGAAAGTAGACCTTCCCAGACCTTTTGGAGGGGTTCCTTTCATCTCTTCTATCAAGGACCCTATTCCCAAACATCACAAAGGCCCTTCTGGTATAGACAAGGACAGCAGGCAGAACGATCTGAATTTGGGGACAGAACAGGAGGGGAGGGCAGAACAAAAGGTCCTTTTGTGGGACAGGAAACAAGTCCTTTTGTCGCCCCAAATAACATCCCCAAATCTCCCATAGGAGTATGATTAAGACTATTCGCAAATCAATGGGAATCCACAACATAAGATTCTTGGGTCAGAGAGACCATAAGATCAGGTCTCTTTCTAGAGTTCCTCTCCACACACCTGAATTTTTTCATGATGTGCCCTGTTTCAAAGGATCCTACAAAAAGGACTTTTATGGAGACTGCAATCTAGCATTTGCTGAAGATCTGGGCAATTCAACCAGTGTCGCGGGATCAACAAGGGCAAGGATTTTATTCCTATCTATTTGTGGTCCTGAAAAGTTTGGGGTGGGTAGGGGTGGAGAGCGATTCTAGACTTAAAATGCCAGAACCATTTCCTTGTCTACAAAAGATTTAAGATGAGCTCCATACAATCAATCCTACTCAGTATCAGACAAGGAGATGTCTTAACTTCAATAGACTTAACAGAGACGTATTTACACATTCCTATCAGACCCATGCATAGCAGATTCCTCAGATTCTGTTACAATAACCACCATTTTGAATATATAGCTCTTCCATTTTGTCTAGCTTCTGCTCTACGAACCTTTACAAAGGTTCTGGCAGCATTAGCACCTGATCTTAGGAGTAAGCCAATTAGGTTACAGTATTATCTTGATGACATATTAATTTTGTCATCGTCCAGCTGCCTAGATACTCGGGTCACTCCACAAGCTCTTCAAGAGCATGGTTTTTCAATAAATTGGGCCTAGAGTCATTTAACACCTTTGACTCGGCTCCAGCACTTGGGAGCCATCATTGACACAGTGTCTGGAAAAATATCCCTATCACCAGATAAGCAGAGTAGCATTATACAGTTGTCAAAAAAGGACTAACGAAAGAATATCCCTGGCCCAATTATCCAAACTGCTAGGAAAAATGATCTCCTGCATTTCTATTGTGTCCTGGGCCTGACTCCATGCCAGAACCCTTCAATGGTTTCTGCTGCCATATCAATGGTCAGGAAAGAGCAATTCCATATCCAAGGTCACCGTTCCATTAAAAGTACTCATATCGCTACACTGATGGACCACAGTAAATATCAGCAAGGGCTTCAAGGTTCCTCACAGACAGATTATCACAACAGATACAAATCTGTTTGGATGGAGGGGGGCACACTGTCAGTCCCTTACAGCTCTGGGTTGTTGGTCCATGACAGAATAGGCCTGCAGCATAAACTGGCTGGAATTAAGGGAAGTCCATTTGGCCTTGCACAAATTTCTACCACTAATCTAGGGGCAGCATGTTCTAACCCTGACTGACAACATGGCCACAAAGGCTCGTATAAACAGGCAGGGGGGCACCCATTCAAAATCACTAATGAAAGTGACAGAGTGACACTGCCGCTGGGCAGAGGAACCTGATATCCATCAAAGCAGAACACATTTTGGGACAGTCCAACATCCAGACAAACTGGTTGAACAGGGCTACTGTTGATCATTCAGAGTGGCGCCTGCACCCGAGATTGTTCCAGGAGATGTCACATCTGTTCAGTCAACCAATCATAGACCTCTTTGCCTCACCTTTCAACACACAGCTCCCAAGGTTCATGTCAAGGTTTCCAACACAAGGAGCGGAGGGAATCAACACTCTACGCTGTCGCTGGCCTTGAGGTCTCCTCTATGCCTTCCCTCCTCTCCCACTAAGTCCAAGGTGGTCCAGAAGCTTCTAGAGGAGAAAGCGGATCTGTTGTTGGTGGCATCTTACTGGCCAAGACATCCGTGGTTCATGGATTTCAGGGACCTTTCGATAACAGACCCATGGAGAATCCCACTGGACAGAGTCTCGTTCACACAGGGTCCAATTCAACATCCAGACCCACAATGGCTGCACCTCACCATATAGCACTTGAGCAGAGACATCTGAAAGGCGAAAAACTCCAATAAAGTCATCTTTATGATCCAAGTGGCCAACATCCATCAATGAACCATATATACAACAACACCTGGAACATCTTCTGCAGGTGGTGTGACAAGGTAAAAATAGACCCC